AAATACACTTATCGGAATCTATTTTTCGTATTTGTTTTCTAGAAGAGGATCAGTAGGTTATTTTAGGAAACTCGAAACTCACTAATAAACGTATCAAATATACTAGCTGTATTCGTAAGTACTTTGCAAAGACCTTTTCCATTTTCATTTAATGGAATACTCGAAGAAATTGTGGTGTCCTACATAAATTTCTTTTATTATTTGTTGTTTTCAGATCGAAAAGCTTAAAAGCTACTTACTGTGTAGTTTATATCACTTGAAATTAGCTAGTTAAAACAATATTTATGGCAGCAGCAATGATTATGAACACTAACAAAACGGAATACATTCAATGGATGTGGCAATCGAACCCAAATCCTTGGTCAAAGGCTGAACCAGCTCAATGGAGATCTTATTCAGACGTGGATAATCTTATTATAGAAGAAGCATTTTCCAACAACGAATTACATGCGCGGTTGGATGGTTATTATATTGATCTTAAAAATAATCTTCAGATTTCAAGAAAAAATGACAGCAGCCAGAGACCAATCGAAAGAACGGTACAAAAAAAAGAAGATAAGCATATGCGAGAAGCACGTTTCCTACATGATCCAATCGCTCCGCAACGCCCTGCCGGTAGTGAATATGGATGGGTTTCTCCTTTCATAATAGAAGTGAGAATAAGTTTGGAACTTGAACCGGAACAATTACCTTCAAAAGACGCAAAAATCATCCCAAAGATTGTTGAAAAAGCTGCTGCCGGTATTATTGAAGAAGGTAAAAGTATTCAAAAGTTTTGCGAAGCAGAGAAATTGGCTGAAATCTTGCTAGAGAAAAAGTATCAAGGAATAATGGAAGTTTGGACACGCTGTGCTTATCTCTATTCAATGGAAAGCTTTTTATACAAAAAGTTAAATGAAATGATGAGGCTTATAGGGAGTACAGAACATGAACCAGTTTGGCAAAACAAAATTAAAACATTAGGACCATTTTGTTTGCTCCTATGGGATAATCCGTTTAATACTAAACTCACAACGAACAAAACAGTTTATCGAGCAGGCAAGTTGACGGCCAAACAGATTTCAACTTATCAAGATATGGCTAAATGTCCTGACGAATATCGTTCATTTCAAGCATTCACTTCGTGCAGTCGGGATCCCAATATAGCAGACAAACTTCCGAATACGAATGTCTTATTCATCATGGAAATGATCTTTGCCTTCTCAGTCGATCTGAAGCCAACATCTTTGTATCCAAGTGAAGAAGAAGAACTCATAACTCCGGGTGTTTGTTTTAGTGTCAAAAGTTGCCAATTCAACACAATGAAGAAGAGACATGAAATTCACTTGATGTTAAGACATTACTATCCCAGTAAGTATGACTCTTTCTTTAATTCCCTATTTTTTTATTTGAAAAATAATTCATCCGAGAGTTTCCATTATGATTTTCTTCATGATTAAACACTAAACACACAGAATATTGTCTAATTAACTTAGGAAGAGCAACTTAGATGATGAAAGAATCGTTATTCATCACAAAACATATAGGTAAAACAAACTTGTTAATACTGAGTCAATGATGTTTAGTCATATCTGAAGAAATAGTTGATTTCTAAATGAGAATTTTTCTTTACGAGAGAAATCATCGAAGGGATTATATTCTATTCAACTATCAACAATTTACTTTTCTTTATGCACACCCTAGTCTACTGTCCCTAACGAAACCCCGGAGGAGTCCCCTATTTTTTAAAGTTCCTCTAAAATTTCACAAATATGAATTTTTCAGAGGATTCCGAGGGTGACTTCCTGAGAGTCCCTGATAATACTCATCAACTTCCCGAGGATTCCCTAGAGAGTCCCTGAAGCCTCCCTGAGTCCCCTCTTAACTCCCCAGGGATTCCCGATATGGACTCCCCGGGGAATTTTTCTAGGGAGTCTCGATTAGGACAATGCTTTTTCACAGTCAAACTTTTGGTAAACTCTGAAGAAAAATCTAGATCCTTGAACAACTTGTAGTTACTTAAAATATGGAAAGTATAAATGTCAAGAAATGAAAACGATTTTGGTTGAAAATATTCTAGAAAATGTTTTTCTTTTTTTGCTTTCACATTCTTTCATCATGTATATATATATATATGTTCATATCAGAGTGAGAAGATTCTTTTATTGCCATTGGCTTTATGAGATGTTTATCGTTTTACCAAACAATCGAACGGAAGTGCACAGAAAAGCATTTCGATGAGTTTTAATTTTCGATCGTCTGCAATTTGTTCATATCATGTATTAATAAAAAACTAAAACGAAACTATAGTAACGCTAAGAATCTACATCCCGACAGATGATATAGTAACATTTATTTTGAATGAATTGAGATGAAATTTTCTATGAAAATCTGATAACGACAAAAACTTCCCCCATAAGAGAAGACCTTCCTGAGTTAATTAAAATATCGCAAAATTGGAACTTTGATTAGTAATTATATTTATATCAAAATATGCCTAGTTGTCAGGATTTTGAGCTGAAAAGTCTTTAAAAACTGAGGTTAACATTATTTTTGAGCTTTTAACATTCTAAAAATTATGAAAATAAATGAGACACAATAGGAGATTTGCTGAAAAATTCGCACACTTGGGCATCATAGAAGGTCCAGAGTCTTCTATTGTGAGGAGAGGTCTATTTTGAAAAGTTTTGAAAACTCAAAAATCAATACTCCTATTCATTTTATAGTTTCATTTTTCGAAAAATAAATACAATATCCAACTGTAAATAGACTCACTTTCTCGAAGTATAACATATTCTGCTATGTAACACTGCTTGTACTTCGGTTGTGTGATTAATCTTTTCAATTTTTGAATAACAATGTTTTTATGACACTCAAAATGAAAAATGACTAGCTATTTGAATGTTAGCATCATTTGCTGTTCTACATCAGAATATATTCAAAAACTTGAAAGAAAACTCTCAG